GGGCAGAGCAGTGGGCTGACGCCACCGGCATCCCGGGGCCCGAGGACGAGCAGGCCAAGATGTACGCGGTCCACGGCTACGCGCCTGTCTCTACCGGCGGTGCTGCCGACGGCAGCATGGGGGACCTCAGCGAGATCTCCTCCCATTCCAGGTAAGGGCCTCCCTGCGCCGCTGGCCAGCACCCGCGTGGGGTACCCGGGCCCCTGGGCGCCACCCGTGCTGGGGTGGGAGCGAATGCCCCTGAGATCACGCCGCCAGCCGCCAGGCCATCTGACTTCAGAGGAGATGCTTGTTTCCAAAGTCTGATCTGAAATTTGCACAGTAAGAAGTCCCTTGTCGGTGATAGCCACTTCCTTTCTCTTTAAATCTGAGAGAACACTCAACAGAGATGCTGATTGCTCCCGTCAGGCCTCTCATCTCTCTCCCAGTCCAGTCTGTCGTCTCAAAGTCTCGAAGTTTTTAGGAGAGGCGGTGGCAACCTAGACGGTGCTCAGGTGACAGTGAATGGTAACACGGGGTGGCCGCTGTGTCGTCTGTGTGACGCCCAGTGATGAAGGCACAGGCCCGAGCCCGGTCCTCCCCTGTTCCACGGGCCCCTTCGAGGACTATGTCTGACAAGGCAGGTGTGTTCAGACGGACAGTCCGTTTTTTAAAAAAAATTAAGTCTAGCTAAATTGAAAGGAATTATGTTCTAATTGTAGATGTTTAACATGTGACATTAAAACACCTTCCCCAGGGCCCAGTCCTCAACCCCAAAGTGGGAGCAACCTCAGTCGCACTCAGGGACACCAGACCCACTGCCAGCAACCACGTGGTTCAGGGGAGGTAGACAGATAAGGTGTTTTGTTTTATTTTGTTGTTTAATTTTTCAAATACAGTGTCTGCAACATGCAAAGACCCAGAGATGAGCTAGTTTACTGTGTTTCCTCGTTTCCTCTGGAATCTGTAAAAAGTCCATTGTTAATATCATTCGTAATTTTAGGCTTTTTTTATTTGCTTCCTCCACTGAATTACTTCCTTTATAATAGGGTTTTCAATCAGGGTACATGCTAATCAGAGATTTCAGAACAAGATTAGATTCCAAGGAGCTTATCGCCCAAGCAACCCTGTCATAAACTCTTTCAGTAGCAACAACTTGTGACTGATTCTTTCATACATCACTTAAAAAAACATTAACTACGTGTGAATAATGCTTAACTTGTATCAGGCCCTGTTCTTAGTGCTTCACGGGTAGTAACTCAGATAACCTTCAGAGCAACCCTCCAGAGGTGGAGAGTGTTACATCCACGTCCACGATGAGAAGACTGAGATTAGTGAACTCGCCCGGGGCCTCCCAGGGCCAAGGGCGGAGCTGGCATCGGGCCAGAGCCCCGGGCCACACCTGCGCGTCGGGCTGGCTGACAGTGCCGCCTACCTGCCTTCCGAAACTCTGCCATTAGACCTGTCATCGAAGTATTTGAAACTTTAAGTACTTGTAAAGTAGTTCCTGGTCTCTATTTTGACTCATTTTTCATAAAACATTGTATTGTTGGTTTTCCCGAATTAAAAAAAAATCTTCAGGTTTTTATATTTCCGGGGATGGTCATACAGCAATTCCGCTCCTAAGCGTACACCCCAGTAAACCCCTGCACAGGCGGGGCTGTAAGTCCTTCCGGTCTTAGCCGAACCACTGACTTTTAAGATTTCTGCTGTTTTTAGGGATTCTGTCTTTTACATGTTATTTTGTGTCACATGGTAATACAACGAGCAGCCGTATGACTGTACTGGATGAAGCACTGTGGTGGCAGAGGCCCCCTGTGTCCTGTCCAATCACAAGCCTTCTCTTCTCCCTCCAGGTGGCCACTGATAACCGTTGGCGTTCGTGATAACCGTCCCCTCCCTTTTCTCTGCAGCTTGCATGCTGATTTATACGTTCCCAAACATACATTTATACTGTTCGTTTTCACCTGTTTATGAACTCTTAGAAAACGCAGTCACGCCTGACGCATCCTGTGTGACTTTGTCCACAGGAGGTTTGTGAAGTTCACCCCAGTTGTCTGTGGCCTCAGCTCATTCATTCCTAGAGTTTCCTTTTTAATTATAATTTTTACCGCTTTTATTAATTGGCCATCATTCCACTGCTGATGACTCAGGGTGCCAGCTCCGGAGAGCTGTTAGGATCAGCGCTCCTGTCCGTGTCGCTGTCTGTTTCCAGCTGTCCCCTTGCGGGGGTTTATCTGGGGCGTATGCTTAGGAGTGGAATCGCTGGGTCTTGTGCCGGGCGAGCGCACACCTTTACAGGTCATGCCCAGACGGTTTTCCAAACTGCTGTGCACACTTTCACCCTCAGCAGCAGGAGGAGGACCCATTGCCCCAGATGCTGGCCGTCCAGCGTCACATGCTCCCATCTTGGCCCGTCTGGTGAGCATGCCAGGATAGTGTGCTCTAGTTTGCACTGTCATCTCCCTGGTGACGGCTGAGGTTGAGTTCCCTCTCTTGTGTTTCTTCACCATTTGAGTTTCTTTTCTTTTGTGGCATCAGTTGGAGTCGGATCCCAATTTTCTATTAGATCTCCCCTGGCCATGTTTTTTAACATCCTTCTGGCCACAGGCATACAACTTGCACATGAACACCTTCGGCCTATGGGGAGTGGGGCCTTCTAAGAAGGCTCGCAGCACAAAGATAGCCTCTCGGCCTCTCTCTGCCCGATTTTGCTCACGGAGCGGGCCAGGAGTCCAGCGCCGCAGCTGAGTCGGGCCACCGGCCAACGCGGCTGGGATCTGATTGTCCTGCCTTCAGCTTCTGTCTCTCTTTCTCCCCAGTGGTTCCCACCACTCAGGAAGCCCTTCTGCTCACTGTTCTAAAACTAGCGGCTCTCTGGATACGTCCAAAGTCTACATCGTGTCGCACAGCAGCGGTCAGCAAATCCCTGGGTCCAAGCCCTACCACAGGCAAGGGGCGCTGAACAAGTATGTCATCGGCTGGAAGAAGTCGGAAGGCAGCCCTCCGCCCGACGAGCCGGGAGTGGCCGAGTGTCCCGGGTAAGGCGGCGGCGGGCGGCTCCCCTCGCGGCGGCCCTGGGCATCTGGGGCGCTGGTTCAGCAGATGTATTTTTCCCCCAAGCAGAAATCGATGTTCTCCAAAAGAATACTCTAGAAACAGCTTTGTAAAACTCTTTAAAGATTGGCTTGTATCTTTCTCTTTAAACGTTTTCTCTTTCCTTGATGTTTTCATGTAAGACTGAAAGACATCACTGTTTCTCCTTGTTTTTGTATTTGGAAAGCTGTGTGCAATGGAAAAGTCACAGCAACGTGCTATTGATGGCAGGAGTGTAGATTCTGTAAGTAAATGAGGTCCAGAATAGTCTTAATTCCCACAGAGCCTGTTTGTGTGTGTGTGTGTGTGTGTGTGTTTCCTAAAGTTGCTGTGTACGTGACATCATGAAAGAAAAAGTGTTTTACCTAATTTTAACATGACTTGATTTCCCTTTCAGGGGTCAGGTTTTGTGAGGGGCAGGAAGAGGGGAGGAAAAAAGAAAGGGGTGAAAACACTGATAACTTATTCTGTAACGTGCGTTAAAACTCTGCGGACGTCTCTTTGAAGAGACAAGTAAAGATCACATTTCAGGGACGCAGAGCAAGGCTGGGCAGGGCTGTGCAGCTGGGGATTCGCTTACTTTCTGGAAGGACAGCCGTTAAAAAACCCTCACGTGCACTAAAGTAGGAGGTCGTCTGTGTTTTGCTGCAACTGCATGTGTCGATAGCATCGTCAGATGTCGGGGGACACAGGGGGCTGCCGGCGCTTTCAGAGAGCTCTTTGAGATTTTAACTTAGCCCGTGAACTAGTATCACTTTTTTCCCTTAAAGAAATGACCCCACTTCTTAAATATGTCTGACAGAACGCTGTCTCCTAAATTAAAAACAATTTTGGTGCTGAAATTGAACATGGAACTTGTCTGTTAAAAAATAAATAAAACCATCTTGCTGATGATTGCAAACGAATCATTGAGAGGAATTTTATTGAGATCACTAGACGTTTTTGATCGTAAACGCGCGTGTTCTCGCAATCACGTTGGTATTTCTGTGTGATCGCGTCTTCTCAGTGCTTCACTACAGGTCCACCCTGAGCCCCTACGTCCATGAGTTATTTGTAGAAGTGCTTCGCACATCAGTGTAAGGCTGTGCTTCGGGTCAGGGCTCCCTCGAAGACCTCGGAAAGGGGGAAGGAGCTCACGTGGATACTTGTCACCAGAGAGCCCCCAGCATTTGTGCATTTTAATGCTGGTTTAGTGACACTGACTTTTGGGGGCGTAATTAGGTTTATTTATTTATTTGTTTATTTTTAATGGAGGGACTGTGGATTGAACCTAGGACCTCATGCATGCTAAGCACGTGCTCTACCACTGAGCTATACCCTCCCCACCTCCCTTCTTCTCCATTTATAATCTTGTTAAACTCTAGTATTTTCAGGCAAACTGCTCAGCACAGCATATGTAATCCTTCCTGATTTGTCCCTTACCTGCTTCCACGCCCTAGCTCACCCACCCCGACCTCTCAACTTCCTTCCAACCAGCTCTGTTTTTACTGCCCCAGTGGGTGGTTCTGTCTCAGGCCTCTGTGCCTGCGTTCATGTGGTTCCCTCTGCCTAAATGCTGTTCCTGGCTGTCTGGGCCAGCATTCTCTCAAGCTGGGCCCTTCTTTACACCTCTGTCCCAACACTTTGCACACAGTGACTTCCCACTCTCTTGTTCATGCTTGCACTTACACATGCATGCACACGCACACACCCCAGACCAGGGTCCTCCGAGAGTACCACATCCTGCTCACCTCTGTACTCCCTCATGACTGGCACAGAGTAGACCCTCAGAGCATCCTTACTGACATTTGGCGATTTTAATAAAATCACTAAGTTAGCAGAAAAGGCTGACAATATTTATTCAAACACATAGGGAACTGAACGAGCACATGTCTTAGTATTTCTAGGTATTATCTTTTTATCCAAGCAGCTACTGATGAGACCTGGGTTTGATTTGGTTTGTTCCCCCCCACACATCTTTCCCAAAGCACGTAGGGCCTGGAACCCTTGAGCCCTCCTAACCCCAGATCTCAGGACCCACAGCAGGCCCTTCCTGACCTTCCTTGTCCCAAAACATCCATGGTTGGTTTTCCCACCTGGCTTTTGCCCAACCCTCCCAACCCCTTCAGGTCTCGGGTTCTTCCTTAGCACCCATTTGCATGTCCTGCCGTCCTACCAGCCACTCAGATCTTCAGTCACGTGTAAACGTTTTCAAAGCTTCCTCCCCAGTTGCTGCGTCCATGTTGCTGGCGTGGCTGGGCTGTGCAGGAGACCTGACCTACGGCAGGAACAAAGCATGAGCCGTAGCGAAGGATAAATCCTTCTCAGTCTGGAGCTTGTCTGTGTGAGTGTCGTGTCCCAATCATTTCCCCATGGGCCGTCTCACTATGACAGAATAGCCTTGCACTTGACATAGGGCCATCTCGGTGACACGGGACAGTCACACACAGGTCATCCTCTGGTCTGCACCCTGGGCTGGGGACTCCTGCAGCATCATGTTTCTGGTTCGTGTGGCAAAGACCGTCCACTTCTGCTGACAGTGCGGCCCCTGGTTCTCCACCCACCGTGTCTTCAGGAATGTTCCGGACCTCGGATTGCACATGCAGACAAAACCATCTGAAAATGACTCCCCAGTTTTCTCCCCTGAAAAGAGCTGAAAAGAATAATTCAGCCAGACGGTCTCTGGTTGTCCATAAATACATTTTTATTTATTGGTAATTAAGGGGTGCAGATGCTTCACTTACCCGCCCGCTTTGCAAGATTGCTGATAATAAAAATGCTTGGTGCGCCCCCGGATCGATTCCTCTTAACCGTCTGGCTCCCTGGGGTCCATCCCTCCGTATTGCTGGGGTGGTGGTGGGGGGCGCGGTGGTCCAGCCGTAAGAGAAAGGCTCTTTTAAGTTCCTGACACACAGCGTTCCTTCAAAGAACACAGGATCCTCTCTGATGAATTATTGAAACTGCGTTTTCTGACACAGATTAGGAAAGGGGAAACGCAGCCTTACTTTTTAAAGTTGGCTGTATTTTTTCTCACCCGGAGCTTGCGGGATCTGATTTTAACTTTGCAGACGAGCTCGTTTCACAAATGTAAAGTGGCCCAGGGGTCTGGAGCAAGCAGAGGAAAAGTACACCATTAAATGCTGAAGAGCCGTGTGTCTGTCTAGGTGGTCGCTGGAACTGGTTACTGGATTTTAATTCTCCAGGCTACAGGCACCTTACTCGTCCCAATTTCCCGTCTGGTTTGTCTCCACAGGCTGTTCGGGGAGCTGGGGCTCCTGTCCCCCGCGGTGCAGCCGCAGGCGGTGGTGGGAGACGCCGTCCCGGAAACCCAGCACGTTCTGTCGAAGGAGGACTTCCTGAAATTGATGCTCCCGGACAGCCCCTTAGCGGAGGAGGGGAGAAGAAAGGTTAGCCACTCTGCCGGGGTTTGCAAGTTGCCGGAAAAGCCTAAAGGGGTGAGAGGGCTTCCGGAATTCTCCCACCTGTGGTATCTCTCCTGATCCTGCCGACGGCTCCGTGCCTGGTTGGCCATTCTCACTGTTACTCCGCCAGGGAGTGAAGTGAGGTCAGAAAGAACAGCTTTCTAGATGGACGGCAAGAGCTCGAGTCAGGCGGGCCTGGCCTCAGTCAACGGCGTGATCTTGTGCACATGACTTAACCTCTTGGCCCAGTGCCATCCTCTGAAAAAAGGAGGCAGTGATACGTGCACTCTGTAGGGTTCTAGCGAAGATAGGAAACAGCCTCGCACAGTACCTGGACTGAACAGGTGACTGGGAACAGCAGCTGCGAAAATTCACACCACCTGACTCTTGCTCCAGAATTCTCCCGAGGATAGCGTTCTGCAAGCCACCCCACTTAGATGTAGTCCCGCTCCAGAAACAGGCTAGAGTTAGAGCCTCTGCTGCCTGCCGGGTGTTGTAGATAGAATGGAACTTGCACCGTGCTGTGTAAATCTGTCCTCACTCACGAGGGAGGTTCCACACACCAGGCGCGCAAACCTCACGGGGTCAGGGTCACACCTTCATCACGACGGTGCCGTCCCTTGCTTCTGGTCGATTACTTACCGTCCTTACTAGTTTTAGTGTTATTATTTATTATTACAGTCTCTTATTTTATTTTTTATTGATGTATACTTGATTTGCAATGTTAGTTTCAGGTGTACAGCAAAGTGATTCAGTTATACATACACACACACACACACACACACACATATTTTCAGATTTTTTTTATCAAAGCTTATTATAAGAAACTGCATATAGTTCCCTGGGCTATACAGTAGGTCCTTGTTGTTTATCTATTTTATTTTTATTGCAGTCTCTTAAACCACTTTGTTATGTAACGGAAAGTATGAAGAGGGACTTACAGGTCAGCTAGCCCAGTCTCTCCTCTTTTTGCAAGTAACTAAGGCCCCAAATGGTGAAAGGCGAAGTTCACGTAAATATTTGGTGGCCAGGTCGGCTGTGGAACACAGACGTTCTCCCTGCTAACTCAGCGCCCTCTTGTCCAAACAAAAGGAAAGAAAAAAGTCAGGTGTTGTCATACTGACTGTGATCGGGGCAAACTCAAGTCTTTGTGCTTGTCTTCCCTGTAGCAAAGCAGTGGACCTGCTATGGACCTGATTGTGTTCTTAGAATAACACTCTGATTAGATGCTACCTCAAAGCTGCTTTAATCTAATGGGCTTGTAATCCTGTTCTGGAGAGCCTGCTGGTCGTGTGTGACGAGGGAATCCCAGAAGAACTCAGTCAGAATGAGCCTTTTTTTTTTCAAACTTGTATCAAATCATGTAGATGGTACTGTGTAAGCCTGGATGCAGACGGTTTTACAAAAAGTTCAAATAGCTTTTCTTTTAATAGGAAGGAACTTCTCCTGGACTTTTTTATTTTTCTTCTAAGACAAATCGCCTTCTTTTCAGAGTGTAAACTTAACTTTGTAGTTTGCACACGCTCTGGGCCCCATTCATCAGTTGGACAGATGACAGAATGGAAGGAACTCATACAATAGACATATTTTTAGCCTTCGGGCTGCATTCGCAGGAGTAAATAGCCATTTCTATATTTGCCTGATGCAAACATTCTGGCTTTTACTATTATTTATGTGAAAGGAATGCAGTTCAGGACTTCTAGAAGAAGGAGTTGGAAATTCAGATTTCATTTAATTTTTCTTGAGTTTTTGACCACTTGCTTCTTCATTGAGGCTTTTCCCTCCCGTCTGGGATTGACCACACAATAATTTTCATGGTTTCTTTAAATCTGGTTAAGATAGATTACTATAACTCAATTTTCAACTGTGATAGGCTTTTGTGAGCGATACTTTGAAGTATGTAGACAGTAAGATTTGGCTGGACTGACCCTGTCTTTCTTGAACCCACTCATACTGCCTAGAAAGCTGCATTGCTCAAAATTATTACTATTATTATTATTATTATTATTATTATTAACTATTACCTCAATTAGCTCAAACCTCACATGTAGTTGATTGGTAGAGAAATTACCTAATATTAAAATGCAGTTATTTCAAATGAGAATCAAGTCCACACTGGGTGTAGTTTTGAATAACTGTTGCCTGAAAGAGCAACCTTTTATATTTCCAGAAGCCGCCACTGCGCCAAGGTTACAGGAGTTCCACTTAACATTTCAGAATTAATAAAGCTGTGCATGTGTAATTCACGGTCACATGTCACGCAGTGCCAGGGGAAGACATTCAAGTCCAGTCAGTGCAGGGAGCCCAAGAAGTGCATTTGCCTGGGTGAGCAGCACGCCTGCTCCGGCTCTCCCGAGCTCAGGCTGCCGCTGCCTGCCTGCCCCGGACCCACCTGCTCTCGGCTTTCTAACGTCTGCTTCCCCCGCTCCCCGTGTACGCCCCTAGTTTTCGTTCTACGGGAACCTGTCGCCCCGGCGCTCGCTGTACCGCACCCTCTCTGACGAAAGCGTCTGCAGCAATCGGAGGGGGTCCTCCTTCGGCAGCTCGCGGAGCTCCATCCTGGACCAGGCCCTGCCCAACGACATCCTGTTCAGCACCACCCCGCCCTACCACAGCACGCTGCCCCCCCGGACCCACCCGGCGCCCAGCATGGGGAGCCTGCGGAGTAAGTACCCCCGGGCTGCACAGCGCCTGCCTCGCCGGCCCTCCGAGGGTCTCCTAGCGGGGCTTGGGGGGGGTGCGTTTATTTGTTAAATGATGTATCATTTGGCGGTCTGTTTTCTTTCTTTCTTTTTCTTTTTTTCATTTTTTTAAGAAATTCTTAAGTGCAGTAAAAGCCCCAAAGTGGATATTTTTTAAGTTAAGCGCTACCAGCAATTTTGCAGAAAATTGAAAAACCCATATTAAACAGTTTTATCCAGTGAAATTGTGACCCTTCTACTGTAGCTCAGCTAGTACATCCATAAAGAAAAAAACAGTGTCTAAAACTGGATTTTATAAAGAGAAAATGGTGGCAGGGGTTAGGTTTTCCGGTGGGCAGTGCGAACAAGAAGGGAGGCTGGTTTTCTAGCCTTCTGTGTCTGCTTCTTCTCGACCTTCTACACGTGGTGGTGGGGATTGTGGCAGGTGGGTATCGGACACCTGGTCACCCGCGGGAGCATCACGTCCTCGGGTCGTCATTTGGATTCTCTGTGTCCAGTCCTCTCCAATTTCCTGGCCACGGGTTGACTAGTTAATTTCTAGATGATTTTCCTTCACATCCTAAAATCTTTCATTTTTACATAGTATTAGTTCTTTATTATCATGTCTGTGTTGAAGGGTGATTTTTTTTCCAATATTAGTTAGCTGTATTTCCTTTGTTCATAGTTAATTTCTATTCTACAGGAAGAATGAGAATTTAATCAGAAATACATTCACTGTCAGGTTTTTTTTTTTTAATTTCATCTTAGAAAGCATTATCTTTAGAACCAATTTGAACGTCATAATACACATAGAAGTCCCAGGCTAAATGAAATAAAAGTTCTAATAATGTTTCTAATGTTTAACATAATTGGAAATGAACCTAGTCTCATAAAATTCTTAATGTCTTTCTTTACGTAACATAATATGCTGTCTGTTATAAAAAGTCCATTTGCCCAAATTGGAGAAACCTTTATACTCCCTCTTGAAAAAGGTATGAGAGGTCAGACGAGCATATTCTAATACCCCAATATTTCTCCAAATGGTTTTCCTTTTTTGTAAATAGGTAATTTTAATGGCCTCTTAAAAGCTTTCCTGGAACCAGTGAAACTTTATTTTCTTGCCAGTGTTACATCTTTCACTTAAAATGCTTGAGATGTGACTGTGAAATCCATGGCATATACATTTAGTAGAGGTCTTACGTTCTTGCACTAACTTAGTTCCATGTGAAACATAGACAGTTGACCCTTGCACAATGCAAGTTTGAACTGCAAGGATCGACTTGTACGTACTGCATGATCCACGATTGGTGAATCAGGGGGTGTGGAACCTCAGATAGGAGGAGCCTTGGATACAGGGGGGCTAACTGTAAAGTTAAATGCGGCTTTTCACCTGCAGGGGAGGTCAGTTCCCCTAACCCCTGTGTTGTTCAAGGGTCAACTGTATATTCTGTTTTTTAGCTTCACTTTTTTTTCCTTAATAAACATTATTTAGGATCATTTTAGGTTCACACCAGAATTCAGCAGAAAGCACACAGATTTCCCACATGACCCCTGTCCCCACACAGGCACAATCTCCCCCAAGGTCAGCATGCCTCACCACCGTGCTACGTTTCTTAGAGCCACTGACACATCCTTATCACCCAGAGTCCATAGTTTACGTTAGGGGTCACTCTTGGTGCCGTACATTCTCTGGATTTGGACAAATGCATCATAATGTGTGTTTGCCATTGTATCATACAGAATATTTTCATTTCCCTAAAAACCCTCTGTACTTCGCCTGTTCATCCCTCCCTCCCCCTAACCCCTGGTAATCACTGGTCCTTTTACTGTCGGCATAGTTTTGTCTTTTCCAGAATGTCGTATAGTTGCAACATACAATGTAGCCTTTGCAGATTGGCTTCTTAAGTGATTCACTTAGTAAAATGCATTTAATGTTCCTCCATGTCTCTCCATGCTTGACAGTCCATTTCTTTTCAGTGCTGGCTATTATTCCATTGTCTGGATGTACCGATTTATTTGTCCATTTACATATTGAAGGGCTGTATCCCTTGATTCTTAGTATGTTCAAAGTATAAAGGCACAGTTGGAAACAGGCAGGTATACTGTTCACTCTCTGGGTTAAAAACTGTCTTTCTTGCCTTCGTTGTTTGTTTCTCTAGGAAGAGCAGTAAGAATGGTCTTTGCTGTCTGCTCTTCTCCAGTGAAACCTTCTTATTTGGCAGTGTGACTCCTCTAATCTCTAAACTTCACAACCTACTCAGAAAAAAATTCCCTGGATTTGATGGATAACATGACAAAATGGAAATAAGGGATCTGCAAATACTTTGAATTAATGTGTCTCCCCCCCTAGACTTTCTGATTCCCTCTGCCCTGCCCCAGGATTTGGTTGTCCATCGGGGACGCACGCCCTGGGACCCCTGACTCCCACACTCGCCTGTGTGGTTATGGCTCCTGTATGTACTCAAGGCAGATTTCAATCATGCTTTGCCTCCTGTGGTTTCTGCTGGTTCAGCAGGGCCCTTGTGAGACGATCCCACTCGCTGAGTCGTGTGAGAGTCTGACATGGAAACAAACCAGAGTTGATCTGTGGGTGCTCGTGCCAAGCAGACATCTGTGAGTGAGAAATGAGGGCTATGTGGGGTCGTCCAGGCATTTCCCTTGGTTTATAGGAGACTTAGCTTCACATTAAAACTTGGAGTGGTTAGTTCTTCCCGAGTGTGCAGCACCGGGCGGTTTAATAGCTTTGTGGGAGGAGCAAGGACACACAGGGGGTCTTCTGAAGTTAAAGCCTCAGTGTTCCTGGCAGACATCTGACCTTCCACTGGTGGAGACTCACTCGGATCTCATTCCTGATTTGGAGCGATGATGGTGCCGGGAAGGGCTGGAAGCCCGTCTTTTCACGCGAATCTCAGAAGACCGCATCACCACACCCTTTCTGCATGGAATTATCCCATCCCAGGTTTCTCATCCAGATGGTTTTCGCTCTTACGTGTCTCAAATTTGCACCTGTCTCAGAATCTTGCCTCTCCTGAGAGCAGGATCTTAATCCAACCTCGGGAGACAGCTACTTAGCAAACACATTTTGCATGTGACTCATGTCATGATCATACATATTTCCTGTGAAGTCCCTCAGTGTGCTGCGTCATGATGTCCTTGACTCAGAGGTACAAAAATACGACTGGCTTGAGCAACTGAAAATAATCGTGAACTATTTCTGCATTGCATTTGAGGCCTTGATTTCCATCATTGGATTCCAGAGTAGAATTTCTGTAGTGGCCCAGATAGGGGGGAAAAAATGGGGCATGGCCATTTTGACCCCCAATTCACAGACCAGAAAACCAGTGATATTGACTAGCATGCTAGCATCCTTCTCCATGACCACGTGGTCACCTGGCTTCATTCAGTGCAGTCCAACCATTGGCAGGTTTATAGCGTGTTTCAAGAGAATCCCTGATTTTTTATGGCATGGAGATCAACACTCTCCAAGGAATGGAGGAAGTCTTACACAGATAGACTAACAAGAGTTCTGAAGTTCTGAAAAATAAAAACAGAGTATTAGGTTGTATGTGTTCACAAATCTATAGTTGTGACCTAGGCTCCCATAAAGGGTGCCCCTGGAAGTTTAAATGTGGGGTGGTGGGGGCTAGAATAAATTTTAAAAATTAGTACTTTCCTTATAATTTAGTACCCACACGAGATGCCACGGACTCCAGTGCAGATGCCGTAGTGTGATGAGCTGTCCGCCCCAGAAGGGTCACCCTGGCTTCAGCTGGCACCGACAGAGGCAGGGTTTTCTCTGACTCGGTGTCACATCTCTTCCTCTTTTTTCCAATATTCTTGGTCTTCCCAGTAATAAACGTCCGCCGGTTTCTGGAGAGTCACTGGGAAACCTCAGCTCTGTGACCACCAGGAAGTGCTGTCAGGAAGGCTCCTGGGCCTTTATAACAACAGCAGGGAAGTCAGATCGATCAGGATGGGCCCCGGGGTTTCATGGTCGGGGTGAACAAACAGGAAGCTGCAAGATGCACATGGGAGCCCAAGAGCGGAGGCCCGGGCAGCAGTGCCTGCATGCGAGCCACCCCTCGGGATCTGTGAGTCCCCTTCTACCCTGGAATGGCCAGAGGAGCCGTGTGGGCGCCTGTAACACTGGCCTGGGAGACCAAACCTTGAAATAACAGGCTCTTATTCCCAAGTCATGCCTCTCTTTCCCCAGCTGGAAAATTCAGAAAACACTCCCCCGGCTGCCAGGGTGCACACCTGCCTGACCCAGGCCCCCAGACCGGCACCGACAGGACTCACCTGCTCCTTGACGGCTTTCAAGGGCAGAGCTTGCGTCTTATTGTTCATTCCGTCCATCCCTAGGTGCTAATACAGTACCTGGTGGTCCCTGGAATACAGAGGATGCTGAGGAAGCAATCGGGGCAATTGCAGGAGTGACACCTCAAAGTAATAGGAAGGATTCTGGGTGGTTTGGAGTCTTAGACCTAACAAAAAAAGGTGGGGGGTGTGATTTTTTCCCAGTTGTATGATTTCTCCAAGCAATAATTCAGAGAGGAATCTCGATGGCTCTTACTTTGTTTAAGGTGACAGTCGTTGACACTAGGCTCCTCCTGCGTACTGAAGGATGATGGATTTGGCCTTCAATCCATGCTTTCGTGGAGCTTTTCTCCCGGATCTGTGCCCTTCCTTAAGCGGCCGCTTCTCCTTTGTGTCCTGGCAACTGTCACCTCCTCGGATTGGCCTTCCCCCAAACCGCCGCCAGCCTCTGCGGGCACGTCTCCCTGTGTGGTTTTCTTTGAGAGACCTGTTTACTCGTTTATTCTCTTTCCCTGTCGTGTGTGATGTCAGCTTTGTGAGAGGAGGGGTCTTGTCCATCTTACCTGCTGCTCAGCCCCATCACAAGCATGCAGTCGGCGTTTAATAAACACACCACTGATGGCTGAGTGGATCTTACTCTAAACGCTCTCCTGAGAAAGGGCATCTTCTCCAGCTTACCTATCGCCCTTGCTGGCTCCACAGCATTAAATAAACACGAAAGTCCCACTGACAACAGGTCATCGTTTGTAAGAAAGAGGAAATATCGCAAACAGCGTCCCTTCTTTGGCTCCCTGGTCCTCCAGGAAAGTTGGAGGAGGTTGGAAGGATGCCCAAGGCCTGCTCCTGGCTGTGACACTCGACTTTCCCAGATCGCAGTCCTCAGTGCCACTTTGAGCTGTGTGCAGGGCAGCAGGTGGAGATGCCTGCGGAGTTGTTGGCCTGCCCTGCTATGCGGGTAGCGGGGTCCCCTTTGCTGCCACATCACTGTGCCTGGACAGCAGCTTCCCGGCCACCACGATTCAGATTCGTGCCACAGCTCATGGAACTTCAGGGTGCTCAGAATCATCAAAGCTCCGATCGTTAACCCAAGACGGCCAGATGTCCTTGTCAATACCCCGCGGGGTGTTGGGGAAGGTGGCTTTTGGAGCCCACGGCCGGAGGAGGGACAGGAAGGAGGAGGGGACAAGGGGCTTGAGCCCAGCCCTCCTTTCGGGCCGCATTTTCCCCTCGTGCCCTGTTAGTTTCCTCTCTGTCTCCTCCCATTGGAGGCAGTCAGGGTGCTGACCGGCGGTGCTGGGGGAGCAGGCGGACAGAGCGTGTCTCAGGGTTGATTTTAGGCTTTAAGATGCCAGAAGCTCGAGGGAAGGATTATTTGTTCGTAAAGGCAAAGAAAAATCCGCAAGCTGGCGTATCTTAGCAAAACATGACCAAGAGTGCACTTTCTGTATGAACGTCCATTTAGGTGAATTTCCCCCCCACTGTTTTCCTCTCCAGGGAGGGAAGGAGAGGCAGAGGGTGAGGGGCCGGCCTGGGGCACCCATCACGGAGCTGCAACACACTCTCTTCCTGAACAGAAGGGAAGTCAGTGGCAAAAGTAATTGCCACCGAGTCAAATAACGTCTCTACACTTGGCACAGAAAACCTGCATTAAAAAGCAAAGCAGCCGATGTATCTGGGAGACAGGACATGATTGGCACGTGGTTGAGGATCCCTGGGCCTCCTGACCTTTCTGCCCACGGGCTGAACCTTAAACTTGTGGGTCACGGCGGGACCTGGGGAGGTTCGTCCTGTGAAGGATGTCAGGAGGGTGGGTGTCAGTGTCCTTCCAGGCCACGTCACAAGTGCGCTGTGTCCTAGCCCAGACGCCAGCGTCTCGCGGCCACCCCAAAGGATGGGGGAGCAAAAATCACAGGTGCATTTGGTTAATTATGTCCCTTACTTAATTGCGGGCTCAGACAGCCAGGTGGTCATCGCTTTGATTGGTTTAATTAGTCAGATGTGTCCGCAGCAGCTGCACGCCACATTTTGGGCAGGTTCGAAAAAGGCATATTAGAGAAAGTCCAGTTGAAGCCTTCAGAAAATTTGCCCTCAGATGCCGAACGAGTCTTTTAACAACCAGTATTATCAGTGACGTAAACATTTCAGGTCATATACCCAGAGTTTAAAGAGGAGAAGAAAAATGTAAAAGGTTCACTCGTCCAGTCAAAGGATGACTTGCAAACGTTCGGTGTGGGATGGGGAGAAATTTCTGGTTTAGCCAGCGATCAATCCAGCTTATGAAGTCCAAAATGTAATCCAGCCACCATTTTTGTGTATAGCATGGAAAAATACCGTTCCCGTTCACTCCCGTCTGTTAATAAAGAAAGCAAAGAGAGTCTTTCTGCATTTTTGTAATAGACGGATATTCGAGGCACCCAGAATATGCGACACTCAGCTTAGATAACTGTGTTGGTTGGGAAGTTTTTTAAACCACCAGGAGAGAGAGCAAACCAAACCCTTTTTACAGTAGAGGCTTGCGACACTCGTCACATAGTGGGGGTCACCCCGAGGAAAGCAGGGCACGGTCCTGCAGCTGGGTGGACTCGGGCCGTGCCCTGGGGAGAAGCCCACCCCGGGGAGGTGCACCTCTGCTTTTTGGGTACCTGCGAAGGCGCAGTCCTCATCCTCACGCCCGGCCCCGCCTGCCGGCCAGCCTCTGAGTGAACCTGGGGGTCTTGGCCCTTCCATGGAGCTTGTTTCTCTGGCGGTGTGTCTCTGGGTAACTGCGGCGCTGTGTCTCCTTGTTTACTGGGGCAGGAGATCTTTTAGGAGAAGCTCGCTGGGCCCCTCCGGTACCCGTGCTGCGATCTGACTGATGCTCTGGTTTTGTTTCTGTTTAGATGAGTTCTGGTTCTCCGATGGGTCCATATCGGATAAGTCCAAGTGCGCAGATCCTGGCCTGATGCCCCTTCCGGACACGGCCACGGGGTTAGATTGGTCCCACCTCGTGGACGCTGCCCGGGCGTTTGAAGGTAAAGACCCCAGCCTCCTCCAGGGCGGGGGGTGGCAACGCAGGGGTCGTCCTGGTCCTTGGGTGGATGCTCTGCGCGTCTTCCAGGAGGAGGAACACACGGGGCGGCTTGAGCCGAGACTGAAGGCATTTCCATAGGGAGACTCAGGCATTTCTCGAAATAAACATGGGGCAGAGGATCCCAAACCCGATTCCACGTCAGGCACCAGGTGTGACCTGGCGGGAGCCCCTTCTCCTCTTCCACCTCTGTTTTCTTTCCTGGAATGTGGATCCAGGATGCAGATCCTGTCTTTCCTCCCTGTGTGATGAGGTGAGGGAGGAGGGGAAGGCCCTTCTAAGGTCCTGAGCTGCCCTGCTTGGCAGGACAAGCCCAGGCCAGGGCGTCTGGTGGCTGGAGGTCCATGCAGACGCCGCGTGGCCTGCTTGGCCCAGCAGGGCTCCCTGTCCGGACCTCGGCTCCCTCCTCCAGCCGGGCGGTCAGGGGCGGGGCGGGGTCGGCTCACGCCCAGGGCCCTCCTGCTGCCTCCCACCGTGTCTGGCGCTGTGAGTGTTAGAAGGGAGGCTGCTCCATAGGGAAAAGCTTTTCTCCAACTCGCAGACCGAGAGGGCCACCACCAAGAGGATGCTTGCCTCGTGGGCATCCTTGGGACCTAATGTGGGTATAGGGGACCCTGGGGACCTGACTTGTGACCCTCTTGCCATTTGCTGCTACACTCTTCCCACAACTGCAGCCTCTGCTCCTGGGTGACCAGCAGGAACCCCGCGATGGGGGCAGGCTAGATTTAGGGCCCTGTTTGAGAATCTGCCCTGTGTCTGGGTCGGGGCATCCCAGAGGGGCTCTGTGTTCACAGCCGCCCCACAGGGAGGGGCAGGCGCCCCTGAAGTCAGGCTGCTGCAGCAGGTGGAGGGCTGCTGCCCTGACAGCCTCACTAACGGGCCTCCCCGGCTCAGCAGGCCTGCGGTGGGCGTCTCCCATAAGTTGGTATCGACGCCAGCGGATGAGAGACGTTTGGTTGGAGAATGCCTCGCCTGGTCAGGGAGGCAGCCTTCCTTTCTCCCGCCCAGAAGTTGGTTGTATGTGTTGTAAAAGCCCCGGGCCCATGGCCTGGCTGTTTTCCTGGGCTCCCAGCACTGGCCCCAATGTGACCCAGCCCCAGAGGGTGGGAGCACAGTCTCCCCTCTGTCCAGAGCCAGCCAAGTGGGATGGGGCAGCATGTTCCTTGACATGTTCTGTACACACTGTTGTCGCTCTGCCCTCGGAGAGTGTCAGAACAACTTCCCTGCCTTCTCTGTCCCCCCACTGCATACATATTTGCACAGTGCTTACCATGCTCAACTCTACATTATTCACGTCCCTGTCGCTTCTTATTAGGTGATGAGTTTCTCAAGGGAAGGCTGCTTTTTAAATGTATCTTTATTTATCAAACATACAGCAAGAGAAAACGAGATGAGTTGGCATAAAGGAGCCAGTGGGTATAAAATACACTGGGTCCTTTGCAGCCTTGAGCTGTCCCAGCTCATGGCGTAATTTTTAACCTATGAGGTCCTTTTGCATTTTGTGTTCATTTTTCTGCTTTAAAACAATAGATAATCTCTTTATCTCCACCTTCATTTGTGTCTTGGCTTGTTCCCTTCTACCCCCTTCAGAATAAAATCACTGCTATGAAATCGATCCTTTCCAGGAGCTGGGCTTTGGGTGGGCAGTTGAGAAAGCAAGATGGCGCACGCAGCAGTGACTGAATTGCCCATCCACGTGTTCTGGTCATAATTGCAGCCCTGCTGCTGGGCTCTGGGCCTTAGGACAGGTCACTTGACTCCACACTTTGTTGGGCTTCAGCCGGCTCATCTATAAAATGAAGGCCTTTGCCTGAGAAGGTGGAAGGCTTCCTCCAGCCCTCCACCCTCCAGTTCTGCAGTTCGGTTCATCCTGAGCTGAAGTTGGAAGCCAGGGCGGGAGTTGGCACCTTCAGACCAAGGAGAAAAAGCAGAGGAACCCCAGCTAGCCAGAGCCTCCGGCGCAGTGGTACCTGAGTTAAACAGGAACCACGTGGGATTCTGTTGGTCAGGGGAGAGGACTTCGGTTATCTGACCTTTCTGGACTTTGCAAACAACACTTATGGGAAATACAGAAAGAGTTGATGTCGTATTTAAAATTCTTAGTAATTTCCGGTGCTACTCTGTAGGGTAACACACCTCCTGCAGACAATGGTCAGCTCAGGAAAATTCAAGAATTTGCAACTCCAGACGTTTGGCTAATCAGATTCTTTGTATCAGTATCAGCTGCACTCTTGATGTGAGCCCGCGTGATGTGATCGCTGGCTGTGATCAGTACCCTTAGCACTTTCAAGAAAAATGTCTTCACCGAGACAACCCAGTTGCCCTGCTTGTGGTTTGATCTTTTTGTACCACTTCTCAACGCCATTTCTGAGCTAGACTAAAGATCATGAAGAAAAGATAGTCCCCAGGCTCCCCACTGTGTGCCTGTTTAATTGTTACAAACTAATAAAGGCAGTTCAAGATGCCTTGTTGAGCTCAGGCCGCTCTGGGATAAGGCTGCGTCCATCCTTTGACGTAAGTAGTGCATCTGAAAACAGGCTTTTAAAAATGGGATGTGTCTGCCTGTTGGATTGTGGTCCCATGACCCTCATATAATCCAATAGCATCATTCATTCCCAGTGGACATGCCTCCTCCCCACTGATGCTACATTTAAGTTCCACGCTTTGACAAAAGATGTATTCCCCTTTGTCTAAGAGCTAAAAGGGACGCTGGATGCATGAGTTTAAGAATTTAGTTTGACTGTGCTATTCAAGAGGAGAGCAGAGGCACTGAATCAGTCTGCCCCAAGCACAGCTGCTTAAATATGTTTAAACTCCACGGGTGCACAGGGGATGAGGTCACAGTATTATTGGGGTGGAAGGTCTCCAAGAATCCTGTGTTCCCTTAAAGAGAAGGAACATTTCCACCACACCTCCCAGCACAAGGCACGAAGAGAGAATTAAATCAGGAAAATAAGACCAAACACAAACTAAAAAACCCTAACCATTCAGAACATTCTAATTGTAACTCTAATGATAATTGTGCTAGGGAGATTTAAAGACTATGATAAGAGCATTTTTTTTTCTTTTTTAGTAAGCAAAGATGAAAAAGAGACTGCCTGTTAAAGTACCTGGGCTGCAGCTCAAAGTCCTTAAACAAAAATGTGTTGCTTCCGAAACATTTATTTAAATGGAAAAATTAAAACCAGGAAAATTGACTTAACTGTAGTTTGAAAAAATTCTGCAGAAGTGGTGACAGAAAACAAGAAAATAAATCAAATGATTTTCTTTAAAAACTGGCAATTAAAATTTCAGTAGAATTCATAAAGTCAGTAATCAGTTTTTCTTTAAATATTGGTAAACCGATATACATTCGATCAAAAAATGAAAAGTACAAATGAACAAAACTAGAAATGAGACAGGAGATTCGTTTTAACAAATACATGAGAGATTAAAAGAACATTTAGGAATGTCAGTTTACTCCTATATAGGAATAAGTCTGAGGAATAAGATAATTGGATATTTCTTACAAGAAAATGGGGAGAAGGACCGTAAGAAACAGTAGGCGACTGATGCATGGAGGGCGTTGAAAAAGTTGTGCAAGAGTATCTCCAAATCCCAAATATCACTTGAAACTAATACAGTTAATTGTTTTTTAAAGTTGAAGAGAATGATGATGCTTTTGTATAAGTTTTTCTTGAGATGTATTATCACCATTATTGCATAATAGGATTCTTTCCTGATAACACACAAAAAAGAAAAATTTTTAAATGTCTTAAAAGAAGACCGTCCTAGTCATTAATATTGACATGAGGAGGCTTAGATGAAACTCATTAGTAAATTAAAAACATATCTGTTGTTATTGGCAAGAAGTTAGCTGGTTTAATAAAAGAAAAACTTTTCGTTATAATAAGTTACAGTAAATGAAGTGATTAAATGATACCAATTTCCCAAAAAGGGTGTACGTAATAGAATTAGGACCTGTTTCTAATAGAATTAGGACCTGTTTCTAATAAAAATAACATTTTGAGAGATACTTTCACAGCCTAACAAAGAATATCTACTTTATTCCAAATAGTTACACTTAATGGAAAAACGTTTTCAAGCAGATCCTGTAAGTCCAAAAACTAAACATGGTGTCCTTGGAGACCATGTCCTTTAACTTTGTACTGGAAACTTGGACATTTAAGTAAGCAATACAAAAAAAATGGAGTACATCTTGAATGTAAAGAAATATTTATAAGTATGATTCTATATCTAGAAAATACAAAATTAAGAAAGATTATTAGAAATAATAAAATTAAGTATGTGAGATGTTTTAAAAGTGTATTTCATATTTTATAAGCCTCATTTCAAAGCCTAGTTCATTTTTTCAGTTATCTAGTTCTGGATAACAAGCCACCCCCAAATTTTTGCCTGAAAGCAACTATGGTGTGTGATGGCTCATGATTCCGTGGGGTGGCTGGGCTCAGCTGAGTGGTTCTCCTGCTTCCTTTGGTTTCAGCTGAGGGCACACATGCAGTTGTGTTCAGTGGGAGCTCAGCTGGGACTGGAGCAGGAAGGTGACCTTGCTTACATGTCTGTACCTGGAACAGCTGGGGTCCGGCTGGACCCTGGGCTCCAGCAGGGTAATTGTGCTTCTTCACATGTGGCTGAAGGAATCAGGAAAGCAAAAGCAGGAGTTTTGGGGGGTTTGGGGGTTTTCAAGACCCAGAACATTAGATCCACCACATGCTATTGGACAGAGAAAGTCACAAGGCCAGCCCAGTTCCCAGGGTAGAAGTGGCTCTACTTCCGAGTGTGAGGGGTGGTGTGTGCAAAACAGCCACTTATTATAAATTCTTTGAGAGTTAAGTCATCATTGGAATTATAGTGAGAGAAAGCACCAGACACTTGGATAACTGTTAGACACTTTGATCTAGCACATGGAAGGAAAGGAATGGATAGAAATCACACGTGGAAGATGAGATTCTTCCTGAGTTAATTCACAGGTTTGGTACAATTTCTGTTCAGATATCTAAAGGATATCCACACCCATTTGGAAAACAGATGAACCATGTTCAGCAAAAAAAGTTTATTATAAGCCAGTAATGATAGAAACAGCATGATAATGATTCAAAAAATAGAAATGAACCCTTTTGAAGGAAAAGAAAAACAGAGCCTAGACTGAAATCTGAGTGTATTTACAACTTAAATGGAAATAGGATATAAGTACTCCATTTGGATTAAGGAATTAGAAAAGTCAATTCTAAAAAGAGGAAAGAGTGGGAGGGGATAGCTCAGTGGTAGAGCGCGTGCTTAGCGTACATGAGGTCCTGGATTCAATCCCCAGTACCTCCATTAAATAAATAATCCTAATTACCTCCTCCCACAAAAATAATTTAAATAAAAAGAGGAAAGATGAACGTTTTGGAAGCATGGCAGTGCCTTAATCACAGGGTCATGAGAGAACATACAAAATGTAATATGACCAGATAAAAGTATTTAAATATTTAGATCTTTTATTAACCAGCAAGAGAACATTCAAATAAAAAGGGAAATTGGGGACTCTGGAGAAAGATTTGTAATAAAGGCACTGGATAAAACCAGGGTATCACAAGTGAATGAAGAAACTTGACCAGCAAAAAATTACCAAATGCCTAATAAACATACGATCAAGGCACAGGGATGCTCAGACCAAAGGAAGGCTCGCAAGTCAATAAGGACTTGAAAAATGTTCAACCACACGTGTAACTTTAAATGGTAACCAGCTACCAGCTCACACCTTTTGAGTCTGAAAAACGACACAGCAGCTCTGGGAAGCTATGAAGAACCTACAGCTGGTATCATTATAAAGATTACAACATGATCCATCTTTTTGTTCAAATGCTATGACAATATGTAGCAAGAGCAAAAAAAAAAAAAAAAACCCACCCCTTGACCAGAAATCTAATTCCTGAGAACATGCTTCCTTGGCAGTGGTTCCAGAGAATAGAGAAGCTTCCACTGGAGAAATGCAATGCAGCATTATTAAAAATTAGTTAAGAAGCGAAAGATGGATAACCAAACTTTACCCCGGAAACTGAGGTCTAAACATTGAAAACTCCTTCAGTGGGCTTGTGAGGGAGGTGAATCATATGCAGAGAGCCTTTCTCCCCAGGGTCCAGGCCTCCCGCTCCCCTCTCCTGTGACCATCAGGCTTGAAAACTGGCCAAGCCCCAGTTCCGGCTTGTTTTCGTGTGTGCCAGGTTTTGTCGGGGGCGGTGAAGTGTGACCCTCTGCACTCACGGCAGAACCCCAGCACAACACTTGCATCGGCGTTCTACAGGGAGACGTCATCTGTCACCCTCGCGGTGCTTTCGATTTCCTTTAGGACGTAGAATGAGCAAGGTATGGGGGGCCAAGGAACGGAGAGATTCATCCCCCGAGTGGTCAGGTGAACAAACCCAACTAGGAAAGCTGCCCGTGGGTCCCACCGGGAAGCTGGGGAGGGAGGTAGAGTCTCTTCTTCAAAAGTTATAAGATGTAAAGTAATTCCCAGGGGAGGGTATAGCTCAGTGGTAGAATAAATCGATGTGAATAAATCGATCAGTAAACCTCATTACCTCCCCCCAAAATAAATAAACCACAAATTAAAAAATTTGAAAAGGAACAACCCCAGAGCTTTCCTTTGCTCATTACTCAGAGTCTAGACCATTACCTTCCTACATTCAGAAATAGGCTGTAAAAAGCCTAAATCAAGATATTTTCTGTGTAACTTTTTTTTTTCCTGAGGGTCCGTTAAGTCAGCTTCCTACAGTCTGATGACCACGGTTGTCAGAATCAGAACCTCTGATTTCCTGCAGGTAGCTACGCAGCCCTAGCTTTTCTGTAATTTGTGGTTGTAGCAAAGATGTATATCAGAACAGCTTTGTGGAAACTCGTGTGGTTTCATCCAGCCTCCGGCTCGCATGTCGCATGCAGCAGATACCTGGCCCGCAGCAGACATGGCTAATCGACCCCGGCACTGATCCCTCCCGATGCCGGCCTGGCCTTACGGTTCTGCGACGTGCTCCACGCGGCTTATCCCGGGTCGTGGGGATTATTTGCAGGCCACTATTGTGCCTGTACCATCTCAGTTCTGTAGTGATAAGAAAGAGCCTGCAGACTGTTCATCCTCTCATTTAGTGCTAAATGCACTAAAAGAAGAAACTGACACTGAAATAAGGTTTTTTAAAGATTACATCAAGGGAAGGATTGCCCTACGTGTAAGCCATGCCTCATGTTCCCCCGCCCCCGAGCCGAATTTGCCTGCACTGGAAAGAACAGAAGAGGAACAAACAAACCTGTAGCTCGTGGGAGACTGGATCTTTGCGGCGCTCACATTTACACGAAATTCATACTCCGAGCCTCCCTTTTCTTACAGTTTTTTCTCTGCCATTCAGTCCAACAGCAGTGATCGCTCAGTTACTATTTATCGTTACAGAAGTCAGCTGTGGAGAAATAAAGCTTCCACTGGAAACTGTCACAAGATTAGCTGTTTTACAAAGTAGTTCAGTGTCTGTACTTAATCAAGTAGCATTCTGTCTGCATTTCAGCCTCCCAGGCCTTTCAGACTCCAAGTGAAATCCTCTTTGTGAAATGACGCTGCTGGCAAAGCGCGCATTTTGGCGTCTTGCCTCCTGACCAGTAGGACCTCGTTTCTCCCCGAGGAATGTTTGACTGGCTGCCAGTAGCAAGTTCTGTGTCTTCAAATATACGGATATTTTATCAATTACAGTAAAAGATGAAGCGAGCTGTTTTCGTCTAGATACTGAGACTGAACCATCAGAATCAAATAGATAAAGAAAGATAGAAACTAACCGAATTATCACTGGGTTGTATAAAATATGGATGAATCTGTGGATCTCCCTGAAAAGGTGATTTAAGTTTGTTTGTTTGTTTTTTTTTGACACTCCTTTTTGGCAGTCCTTAAATTTACCGTGGAATGAAAATGCATCTTCTGTTCATCTTTTTAAGGGCAAGGTGTTCCCTGGTTTGGGGTCATTGCAGAGCAGCCCAGACCCTCCCAGCCCTCCCCAGAGCTGCCTCCCCCGGACCAGTGCACCCCCTCCTTCCTGCCCCACCTCCACCAGTCACATCCTGTTGGAGGTGAAAGTCGGCAATCCCCAAATCATGCTGTAAATTTAAATTCACAAATTATTTCGTCACAGGCAAAAACCCTGCTAGTCAACCACGTTGGGAGCACGACATCTCTCGGAAATGGAGTCACAGAACTTCTGTTGTCCTGTAGAGGGTACAAAGCATGGAGAGGGACCCCCAAAAGCTTTATAGGAATGTTGATTGAAGAACACCTGGGTACCTGTCGTGGCTGTCGAGGTGCCATGATGTAGGACAGGGACGTGGGGTGGGGGCCCTGCTGTGTGACTGATCTTGTGGGGCGCTCAGCACAGCTGCAGGAGGGCCGGGTCTCTGTCGGTGCCTCCAGCTCGGAGCCCGTGGCACTGCAGCCCGGGGTCCTTCCAGGGCTCCTGGCCCCTCCACCATCCTCTCTAATTAACGGGAAGCGCATGACCCTCCATAAACCTGACAGGCAGGTAGCCTCATTAGGAGCCTAGTCCGGCAGCCAGAGGGAGACAGAGTGGGATAAATTAAGAACAGAACCCCCCTGACACGGACCCAAGTGCAGTTTCTCAGCCATTAATCAAATCGTGTGAAAAGACGCTGCAGCAGGAATGCACCTGCTGTATCCCTCGGACTCTGACTGTGGATGAGCACCTGTGCTCCGGCACCGGGAGATGGGGAGGGGGCGGGTGATTAGACGCGTCCCTGGTTCTCACCTCTCCTCGCTCAAAAGCAGGACTTTTTCTGCATGCCATTCAGCACCTCTGGGCCAGTGTCCTTGTGTCAGTGTTCAGTGCCCAGAGCTGGGCCAGTCTGGTGCCCATTCCAAAGAACATTCTATTCCCTTTCCTGCCTGGCTCTGGAAAACGCTGGATGTGAAGTCACTGGTGCCAAGAACAGAAATGGCCCTGTGCTCAGGTGGGGTGGTCCTGCCGATCATTGCTGCTACTGCTGTAAACCCTGTGCCCCTCAGATCGTCCTCACAGGGTTTTAGGGAGAACATGTAGCTAATCTCCCTCACCACTACCATCTTTACGTTCAGGGAGCGGGTCATTTAAGCAAATCCAAAATGGTCACATGTCCTTACAGTCGGGCTTGCATGCCACACATATCTCTGTTGTGCACAAAGCCAGAACCGTTACACATGGACCAGGTGATCTAACCACCTCATTTGGCACTGCATAATGCGTCTCTCAGGGGCAGTTCTTGGTTTAGCACAACACGTACGCACGCAGACATGTACGCACGTGTCCACACGTGCAGTGTGCACACGCAGCTGTGTTGCATAGGATCCCATCACTTGAGGCTCATGTGAGCCCCAGAGACGCTCAAGTGAGCAGAGATGTTCCTGTTCATAGGAAAATTCTAAATCTTATTTCAGGTCTTGACTCAGATGAAGAGTTCGGGCTGCCCTGTCACCACCCGTCCTATCTAGGTGATCGTCTGGAGCTGATCGTGGGCTCTTAGTGCTCCATAACCTTTTCTTCATATTTCATATGTCTGCACGTCTGCATGGTTATGGAAGCGCGGAGGGTTGGGGACGCCTAAGGGAGATGTGTCCGGGCCATCATGTCTCAAGGATGAGGTCCTCTCCTTGGTTCTGACAATCCGCCAAGTCATCACTCAGCACCGTGATTTCATGCACAGCTGGCAGCTTTGGCCTTTCTTGGGGTTGTGGGCAGGAGGAAGCAGATTGGCTCTGGCAAAACCAGCGTCTGCCAGTTGTCCCCTTGGCCGCGATGTGCGTATGCCGTGCAGCCCAGAGGACAGCCAATCGTCGTGCTTTCTGACTGTCAGCGGCTTGCCTGAGTTTGTTTTTCTTTGTTTTGTTTGATGACTGACGGGAGGGAGGAGGGGGAGGTTTTGTTTAGTAACTATTCGTTTCCACAAAGAAGCAGTGCTTTGTGGCTGTTACCAAGCCTTCTCTCTGTGTGTGTCCCCCCACCCCCAGACCAGAGAGTGGCATCCTTCTGTACCCTGACAGACATGCGACAGGGACAGGACCTGGAAGGGGCCCCAGAGCTGCCTTTATGTGTCGATCCAGGCAGTGGCAAAGACTTCATGGACACAACTGGGTACGTGAGCCCCCGTGGACTGCCTCCCTCCCACTGTCCCAGGCTCCAGTGATGAACAGGGATTCGGCTCACCCTAGGCCAACAAGGCTACCATTTCCACCTGCCTTTCCTTAGTCCTTCAGGATCCAGAAAAGGGACTGAGCTTGCCTGACTTAGCTCCCTGCCCTGCTGGGGTGGACGGAGCTTGGCAGCGTAACTGCTCTGCTCCCTGGAGAGCATGGTGGTAGATCCAGGGGGACAGACAGGTGCCCATGCCTTTGGTGGGGAGGCTCATTGACCAAGTGGGAAGGTGTGGCCCCAGGTCAGTGTCTGCCACCTCATCACTGCAGCACTGGACAGGGACACCTGGCCCATCAGCCTTCCACCTGTTGAGGGCTCACGTCCTCCAGTGCCCTGGTCCTCCACCCAGCCTCGTGCCTCCCGCCGAGGTGTGTCAAGAACCAGCCCTCTCTGTCCCTGTGTTCTTGATTCCCAAGGTATGTGTGTTCTCTACTAGTGTCATCGATTCCGAATTCCAGCTTTTCTATCAGCATGAGTTACCAATAACTTGCACGTTCATCTTGGTAATGAGACTCTTGCTAATTCCTGGGCAGAGAAAGGCAAATTGGAGAAATTGCATCTATATCTGGTTCCCAGGACTTTGTGCTGGTCTATCTAATCCCAGCTGCCTAAATGCGTTTAGATCACCTATCTTTCGTTTTCTTACCCCTGTATATGTCTGTAGACATTCTGAATCCCTTTTTAAATCAACAGAGACCCAGGAGGAATTTTCCGCTAAAGCAGCAATGTGTTCACTTTCAAAATCTGACATAATACTATTTATTTTCTTGCTGGGCTCTGAGCACATGACACAGTTTCTTACACGAAAATGTCACCAATGAAAATTCTGGATGAAATGTCTTGATTTCAGCATTCCCGAGTCTCTAAGCCTTTCGTTCCTTGCTAGGGAGCAGTCTCCATCCACACTGACGGGTAAAGTCAACCAGCTGGAGCTGATTCTTCGGCAGCTGCAGACCGACCTTCGCAAGGTACTGCAATCTATTAAAAGTCCAAGATCAGAACTCTTTCTGTTGTGGGGAGGGTGTAGCTCAGTGGTAGAGTGTGTTCTTAGCTTGCTTGAGGTCCTGGGTTCAATCCCCAGTACCTCCATTTAAAAAAAAAAATTCTTTCTCTTGCACAATCAACCCCTTTTAACCACTAGCAATAAAAATGAAGAACTCAAAAATAACCGCCCTAATCACAACCCAACAATAAAGGAGGTCTGATTCCATCTTCTTGCCCACAACTACTGTATTTCATCAGAGGGGACACAAGGTCACTGTAGCTCTGACTGAATAGGGATGAGCCCTTGGATGGCCAGTCTTCAGAATGAGGTAGAAACGCAGCAGGCTGGCAGTTTTCAGTTTAGTGAGTTATCACTTGCACCAATTATGAGCGGACCTAAGAGGAGCTCCTTGCTGCCAGAAAGCCTGATCTCCCCAAGCAGCTGTCCTCACACTGAGCACCACACCCCTTGGAACTTCTGGTCTACCCATCAGCCTCTGCATGGTTGGTCCTCGAAAGATGTTCAGTAACTCATTCCACAGTTGTTGGCCAAGCTCTTGTTGGATCATCAGCGCTGTGCTAGGTAGCCGCTCTGTCATCCAGGGAAATGAGACAGGGTACAGTAACTGGAGGGTGACGGTGGGAGCGGGGAGTGCTGTGGGAAGGCCTTTGTTTGTAGAGGAAGGGAGAAATCCAGCGGGCACAGAAGCTGGTGGAAATGATCCAGTTGGGAAGGAAATAATGCTGAGGGGTGGTGGAGAGTTGGGCCCCTGAGCGGAGCAGGGACGTGGGAGCATCTGGGCCAGGCTGGGAGTGAGTGTCCCAGTGCCTCCTGGGAGTGAACCGGAGCTTGGGTTCCTGGTAGTGACTGAGGAGAGACAGGACCTGGGTGGGCCGAGTCAGTGGTCAGTTCTAATGCCAGCCTCTGGGGACCCGTGTCTTTGGTGGAGAGATGAGGCAGGTGGTGTTGGGGACAGCCTGAGGACAGATGAGATAGAAGCAAATTCCGAGGGCAGAGCCGGACGTGCCGAGGGGCCCAGTCTCCTGAAGAGGCCTGGCTTGCCCTGCACATGGGCTGCAGGTGCGTCTGCCCGTCTTAGCTATCCAGTCACCTCCCTTAAAAAATACCACATGTGGCACTGTGACAATGACTTCTGTCTCTTTCTGGGGCAAGACAACCCTTTTGGCAAGCTTGCATGGTTACATTTTTTTGTTACCTTCTATTGGAAACTCCAGATGTGAATCTTCTGAAAAATCTTGATTATTTTTACATAGTTTTTCATGGCAGACTTTGAAGGTCATTGTGGAAATACACTGTACCGGGAAAGCTTTACAACCTCCCTACTTAGGTTATTATAAACATCCCAGGGTCACAGCTAAGCCGATGCTGACTTGTCTAGTAAGGAGGGTCTCCCGGAAAGCTTTGCACTCCCATCCAAGGCTGTCACTTTAACTTCTCATCAGCCCCCCTTTTCTGGATAGAGGATAATATGGACCATGATGTGTAGCCTTGCGTAGAACCACTGTGTCCATTCCATTGGGAGCAAAGTTGGAGGAAAGGAAAAAGTGTGTGCCCCCCCACCCCGCAGCCCCCCCCAATTTTTGGTAGAAAACAGGAGCAGGCAAGTCACTGGTGAGGAAGTCAGCTCTCCTCTCCCCTCAAGGAATACGTAAGCAAGTCAGTAACAAGGCAGGGTAAGGGCTCTCGCGCGCAGCTGGGGGGGACCCTGTGTCCGTCATCAGGCCCCTGACCGGCTGTCCCCGCCCCGCAGGAGAAGCAGGACAAGGCGGTGCTGCAGGCAGAGGTGCAGCACCTGCGACAGGACAACCTGCGGCTGCAGGAGGAGTCGCAGACGGCCACGGCCCAGCTACGCAAGTTCACCGACTGGTTCTTCAACACCATCGACAAGAAGCCCTAGCCGGGCCACCGCCCCGCCAGGGAGCCCCCCCGGGGGGGGGGGCCCTGGTGTCCCCTCGCAGTCGCCAACATGCGGTTTCCAGCTGTGCTTCCAGCCAATCGTAGCTCTTTGTGCTGTTCCCCTCTGTCTCGCAGCATCACCCAGCCGGGTCGGGAGCGCGGAGAGCGGCGCCCTGCGGAGATGAATGTAAGGCCGATGTCAAGGTGAATGTCATCGCCGGGGCCGGTGTGGACCTTGCCCTTTGAGACGCTGCTGAACGGAGGTCTGGCGTGGGCTTACCTCACGAAGGAAGACAATTGGGTTCTATTTCCTGTGTATCAGGTGACCCGGGAGAGATGTTAACCAACTGACCACAGTCTGGGCTTTAGAATTGTAAAATAAACGTGAGAACAAATAATCAGACATATACTTTAATGTTAAAGGTGCTCTATTTTTTTGGATGTACAGTAGTTTTATTTCCACAGCCACATTATCATAGCAATAAGAAAGGGGCAGAATGAATAGTCAGAAAAGCTGTGTCGGGTTGGGGTGGGGGGGTGCAGAGAAGCAGCACTGATGTGTTTAACACGAGTTCGAATGCAGTTACTTTAGAGAATTATTTATTTGCAGGAGCAAACGGTGCCTGAAAATTAATAACAGTGTTCTGATTCAAAAAAAAAAGTACATATGCCTTGTAAATGGCTCACTGGGTAGTCACTTCAACCTTTAGTTCACTTTTGTATAGTTAACGCTCTGCTGAGAAAGAGTCAGTCTGCCTGCAGGCTAGAGCTCCCCCGTCATGCCGTGACCCAGCGGAACCACCTGTACGATGCCAAGTTTGTTTATCTTTGTACAGAAGCTTTGATGAAGCATCTTGTATTTGACACCCTTATTTAAGCTTATTTAACCTTAAATTGTTAATTTTATAAACTTGGGTTTCACCTGCACTACGATGGAGGGCAGTGTGGGTGGCAGCGAGCTCAGGGAAGACCGAGCTCGCCGGAGGGAAGAGAGGAGCGGGGCGGGACCGTCTGACAACTGGATGCTGCTAGTAACAAGTTGTTTGTATTGCTTTATCATTTTTATCTGTTCGATCTGAGATGAACAGACATTCTGCTTTTTTAAATAAATGTCTAAAAGAGTCCACATAAGTAACAGTGTTGTCAGGTGAATGTAGATTTTGATGCTCTCATGGGTCTGAGTGTCTGAGAATTTATTTTGGGTCTTCGAGGATCTTAATCTGTACTGAATACAACGTAGCCTTCCTGCAGAATCGCAACCTGATTAAAGTGAAGAGTAACTGGTATTGACGATTGCCTGCTGCATGCCAGACAGTCTTCTCTGCACTTTTCATCCGTCTCATTGAATCCCAGTGGTACCCTTACCAGGTGCTGGGATTCCCATCGTACAGCTCGGTAAACTGAGGGTAGAGTCAAGTGATTCACAAAGGTTGCCCTTTTTTAAGTTTTCATCTTATTCCACAAAGAGTTTTGTCTTGCTTACAAGAAAATAAACATGATAAAGTAGTAGGAATATGAAAAATGATCAGGAAGGGGTCAACCATACATTTGAATCAAATGTATGCCAGAAAGAAGACACAGCACATGGGTCAAAGTGGGAAGGGAACCACAGTAATTACAGGACAAAGTTCTCCACCTTCTGAGAACAGAAACCGTATCGAGAATTGGGAGGAAGCAGAGTGATTCCTAGAATTCACCCTCCAAGGGATTTCTGCCCTGGGTTTCATTCACATCAGCCTTGCATTGAAAAATACCCTTAACGTCCCTGCATCGGATGTAGCAGTCGACTTCACAAGGCTGTCTCCTGAAGCCGCCCCCTCCAGGAGGTACAGGTGCAGCTCTAGGCTGCAGCCAGTGAATGCGAATTCTCGGAGAGCCGAGCACCCGGGACCAGGTAGATGCCTGCCTCCCTCCTCCCGGCTTCCCACTGCTCAGTATGTGCCAGACACCGGCCGCGGGCCGAGGAGCCAGCCGAGACCAAGACCAGCCCCGCCTTGTCATCACGGGCCGTGTGATCTATGTGTCTGTATCAGAATCCAAAGGGACACCTACTCCAGCAGGTCCCTCTTTACAGGCGAGAGTGGAGGTGTGGGCTGTGCGACTGGGGAGACCTCCGTGGGTGGGGGACTTCGGAAGGTGGAGAAAGAGCAGGCCAGGGGACACTGGGGGGAAACTTCGAGTTCAAAGGCCCCGATGCTGTAGAAAGTCAGGCTCTAGAGGAGAAAGGTAGTGACGGGAAAGTGGGAGGAGACAGAAGAGACAGGTAAAAGCCAGGTCGCTAATGAACTCCAGGCCGTGGTGGAGTGTGGACTTTCTTCGAAGTCCAAAGGGAGCTGTTGAAACAGGAGAGCGGCCGGCACGATACATCCTATATTTTAAAGAATTCTGACGTCTAAAGGAGGAGGACTCGCTTGGGACAGGCGTCTGCAGGCTTTCTGTGTGAGGCCTGCTGTAACTATTTCAGGCTGTGGAAGTCACAAACTGCTGTCTATTAAAGTCTGGGGAGGAGGGTATAGCTCGGTGGTAGAGTGCATGCTTAGCATGCACAAGGCCCTGGGTTCAATCCTCCCTACCTCTGTTAGAAGATAAATAAATAAATCCGCCCCCCCTACAAAGAAAACTGATTTCCTGCCCTTTAAAGATGGAAGAGCCCTTCTCAGCTCTCAGGTCACCACTAGCATCACTGACCACCATCCCCCGGGATGCAGGAGAGAGCAGAGAAGGAAGACCCACGTAGGTGAGAGATGCTGCTGGCGGAGAAGATGGAGGAGGCAGTCCCCCCATCACATTTGAAAACGTCTTTGCGGGGAAACCCACAGATCTGCCTTTGGGTGGGAGACAGCAGGAAAAGGTTTGACTCAGGGATAAGCCCTTTAGGGGAACGGCTGAGCTGCATGTTGACCAGTTTTCCGTAAACATGTCATGCCTTTAGAGAAAGCTTCACAGCAGTTGTGTCTCCTGGCCTGGCCAGCTCTCTGCGTCACTGGGCACGGATGGACTCTGCTGCTTTAGGGGGCAACCAAGCTGATGCAAGGGTTGACGTTGCTTAGAGAACACAAAGTGCCCTGACCCAAACCTAGCTGAATGGAGAGCCATGCCCCCTTCCTGAGGCGCACCCATCGATGAAACTGGAAGATATTTTTTGAAGAAATACGTCTCAGTCTTTACTAGCAAAGAATGACTCATCACTCACATCTGCCTCCAAAGGGCTGTGCCAGAGAACATGGCCAAATGACTTTTGGCCTGTTCAACTTTTTTTGAATGGGTATTTTCAGTCCAAGACCAAGCTGTGGAAAAATCCTGTCCTGCTCCTGTTGTGCCTGTGGTTTTGAGCAACTTGGCATCCTGGTGGGCACTGTGACTTCCAAAATACACCCCTTGGCAGCTAAACATGTTGACTCTCTGTAAGCACTCACTGGGTACAAACTAATGAAATATTAGAATATATCCACTAAAAATCATTTTGATTTTAGAAAAAGTAATAAAGTGCTTTTTTTTTTGCAATTGGTCTTTATTAGGGTTGGAATCATAGATTCTCTACTCTAGAGAGAATTGTTTTTTTAATCGAAGTACCGTCAGTTACAGTGTAACTGTAACTCGTGTCAATTTCTGGTGTGCAGCACAGTGTCTCGGTCATGCATTAACATACGTATATTCGTTTTAATATTCTCAGTGCTTTTTTCTAACCACATACAGTGATCTGTTACGTATGAAGACCATTCTCACAGGTGGCAAAGTTAATTTGTATTTTAGAGGCTTTATGCTGCTATTCGCAGCATCAGGGAGCAGGTTTATCATTAAAAATACGAGTTACAGTGGGCAGGGCAGAGGGACATGGCCATACAGTCCTGCCTTTGCTGATACTACATTTATGCTAGGAGTCTGCTGTCCTGCTAACCCACTACAATGCAGAATTTGATTACATGTCATCAACTGGGAGTTTCCATCAAACTCAGGAAGCCATAAACCATAGCTTTTTGTCTGCAGAGCCAAAGATCAAAGAGATACCTATAAAAAAAATACAGGAATCATGCTCTTCATAGGTGTCTCCACGAAGGACTGGAACCATGGTCACTAGTGGAATACTTGGATATTAACATCACTTGCTCTTTGGGTAAAATATGGGCCTGAGAAACCTGGACTGCAGTTTAAAGAGAGAACACAGACATGGAAGTTAGACTGACCAACTGAAGAGCCCGCCGGCTGTGGAGAAGCTATGGATGTGACCTCTTGAGGAGTTGACCCTACCCTGTCTCCAACAAGGAAGGTGAACAAGTCATCATCTGTGGCAAAGCCACCTTCTCCCATGGTCACTGTCAACGACACACATGCCAATCTTTGTAAGGGGCAAAGGCCCACCACTTTTAGTCCCAGCCTCTGGAGATTATTAAATAACCACCCCAGGGTTTGCGCTTCAGAATTTCCAAGTTGGGGGCTGGGGGGTTTGCAGGAAGAGGTGATAAGGGTTTTTACAGACGCTCTGCTCTTTCGGAGGACTCGTAAGTAAGATATGGTAAGTTCCAGTTCACTTGAGTGTTTGTGGATTTGGTGCTTGCAAATTTAAAGCCATTTCCTGAGTTCTGGTGGAGACAGTTCAGACAAACTACCCACTAGTAAGAAAATAAAGTAGATGGAATGGACTGGGTTTAATTCAACACCTGGTCCGAGGCGGGTGAGAGGGAAATGTATTGGTTTATGCTCCTCAGGAAAGAAAGTAGTAAGAAACCTGCCAAAATCCAAGGAATGCATTGGGTTTCTGCCCTATGACCTCCAAATTAACCCAAAGACCCAGCTTTCTGACTTTCAATAATAGGAATTAGGCAGAAACTTAAGCACAAAGAAAGATTCCTCATGAAATTTATAAAGGGTTTAAATGAGCATCACTTCCAAAGGTGACATTCTTGCATTTTTAACATATAAGATGTGGGGGCTTTTAAATTACTTTTTAAAAAAATTCTCTAAGCCCCCTCTGGTTCATCTCAATATCAGAAAATTCACTGCCCCCTTAGATCCTTACAACCAAAACGTTGATTCAACTATTAGCATCTGCAGACTCTGACACAGACCACCCTCTGTTTTCCATCCCTAATATCAGAGACCTGCCTAACATGTGCAGAGCAGCTTGGTTTTTGAGACGAGCAAATGAAAAAGAATCAGCCCCTTTGACATGCAAATACCCTTTGGCCGCCAAGGCTATGTTATTAAAGAACTCGATGAAGGGTTAGTCTACCAAAGTCCGGGCCATCAGTACCCATCACTCGGCTCGGAGAACGGCTGTAAATACACATCTGCAGACAGAGATGTCAGCCCCCGGCAGAGCTCCTCTATGGCTGTGCAGAACACTCCCATGGCCTGGGCATCTGGGTCCCCACCCCTCTTCCCCGTGACCAGCATCACTGATCGCTGACCAAGCAGGATCCAGCTGAATGCGCCATTGAGCTGGAATAATTAAACCCGGCAGTCATGTGCTCTTCTAGGATCTGATTAAACACCTTGGAGGAGTCATTACTGAACCCCATCTGGGCTGAGAGCTTGCCAAACAGCAGGCTAAAACCCCCAATGCCCACTTCCAGGAAGGGAGAATTCCAAGTCTGGGTGCTCCGTGTCCCGGGAAATCCAGCACTTGAGAACTCAAGCAGCGTGTTCATGGGAGGAAGCAACCCTTTCCGACAGCCGAGCTCGGAAGGCAGTGGGCTGAACCCTCAACTCCTGCTTCGTTCTTTTTGTTGCTGCTCTTGAACTATCTGAAGGCTATTGTTCAGCCAACATCATCCTAAAACCATTTCATTTCTGAGAACCTGTGGGGAGGGGAGTGAGCAGAAGGTGGCACAGCACTGACCTAGTTAGAGTCTAGCCTGTGGGAGCCACATGGCTTGTATAATTCCACCCTTGACGTGAGCTCTGAAATCAAGTGTCTCTTTATAATTTAAAGAGTTCCTGTTCTATTCTTCCAAAGCCAGAGCCTCTTAAATGCTTTGCCCTGAAGTGTAAAATTGAACTGAACTTGACTATCCTCATCGTCTACTGTCTCCTTGTTTGTATGAGGATTATACTTGCCAGTGACACTGATGTCCAAATGTGAGATAGTGTTTAAACATTATCTGACAATGCAGCCGTATAGAACCCTACCTTCAC